GAGTGTACTCTGATTCATTTGCTGTGAAGAAGACTTCTCATGAGCCTTAGTCAGTCTTCAGGGAACCCCTACTTGGTTAGAAACTCTTGCAGAAAATCAAGAGGCTAGAATTTGAAACCAGGTGCTAGATAAGCTCCTATGAAAGCAAAAGTTTTAGAACAAAGAAAACCATTCTCCATCACTAGGCTGTTCCCCCTACACTGTTCCATTTCACAGATGAGAAAACTGACGCCCAGAAAGAAAAAGGAATGTGACAAAGGCCTCACAACAAGTCCCGGGAAAAGAATCTGGATCTCCCTACTCCCTGTCCAAAGTGTTTTCCACCACCCCTTGCTTTGGGTGACCTCTATTAATCCTAGCACCCAGAGGAGACAGCAAAATCTGCAGTGGACCTGAATTAGAATGTAAGTTCAGAAATAAAAGAGACCTATCTCTGCTCTGCTTTGTTAAAGTAGTTCTAGTAATGTCAGTAATTCACATACCTTGTTGCAGCTAACGGAGCTACCACTTGCCCTTGGCTATAACCCTAAGTAAGTGAAAGACTTGGCCAGAGGTCACTGATTCCCTGCCTGATCTGGGAGGGAAGTGAGGCATTCTAGGTGCCCTGTTAGGGCTGTTCCTGAATGTGGAATCAGTCAGTCCAGACCCATGACCATCCACGACATCTGCACAAAACACATACAGGTTCTAATTCTTCTCTGTGAAACTTGCAGTGTTTTATGCCAAAGCTAAAGGTAGCCTCACAGATTTGAGTTTCTGCATTTACAAAGGCATCAGCTGGAGGTTGTGATTACTTTAACAAATGTGCACCTAATTTCCATACCTACCCAAAGTTTGGGTTTTGGAGAATTCACATTCCCAGAGCTCCTCAGTTTCATGGGGAAGTTGCCATGGTTGGCGTAGTTCTCATAGAAAAGCTAAAAGTAAGCCTGAAACCCACCAACTCTCCAGACACAAACCCACTGTGGGTTATCAGTACTTGGGCTTACCTGGAACATCAATCAATCTTTTGTAGACATTCAAGAAGGCTGCCTCAGCTTCTTTGCTTCTTTTACTCAGTGCATCAATCTGAAAGAGAATGGGGGGAAAAAAAAGACAAAGAGCTCAAAATTTGTCAAGAGGTAATTTAAAAATCATTACACATCTAGTGAGTTCCCACAGCAAATGGAAGTCTAATTTCTCTATGTAAATGCTGGACAACTGGGCCTTTAACCTCTTAGAGGAAATGTCTATAAACACAAGAAAGGGAGACAATCCACGTGGGCCCAGCTTGTGAAGGTGCAGTGCTTCAGATGAAGCCATTTGCAACACTCAGCCCCACTGCCCACTTTTGAGTGTGGGCTTTCCACAGAGAAAATGGTCCGGCACCCTCCCTGGAATCTTTCCTTTTTCTGTAAGTATTTACTAAGAGCTGACCGTGTGCCAGACACTGTGCAGGAGGTGGGACAGACAGGGACAGCTACTCGCTCCAGGAGCTCGAGGGCCAGTAGGACCAACAGGTATGTAAACAAGTAAGAAATCCCAGCTGGGAAAGTGCTAGGTAAGCAGAGCCATGGGGATGCGAAGAAAGGGACATGAAGCAGAAAAGTAGGTGACGTCTGAGTGGAGGCCTCCAGAGCTGTTCACCATGAGATACCACACAGAAGGGGAAGAGCACATTCAAACACCCAGACCCCAAAACGAAACATACCCGGAGCTCAGTTCTTAAATCTGGGGTTCATAGACCTTTAAGAATTTTATGAAAGCCAAGGACCGTACTAGAAATACATACCCACAGTTTTGCATTCTATTTTAGGACACTCACATGTCCACTAGTGTTCTGTCTATGGAATCCAGAATAAGAACCCACTGATGGGGTTGGAACATGGATACATGAGGAGGAGTGGTGGGCTATGAGACTGGACAGGTGAGGAGTCAGATCACGAAGGCTGTCAGTGCATGTGGAGGAGGGTGACCTTCATTGTTTGGGCATAAGTCAGAGTGGAAGGACGGGATGGGGCAGGAAGGAGGCAGCCATTCAGTGGCTGTTGCCTTCCCCCAGGTGAGAAACGTGCAGGGAAGTGAAGGTAGGGATTGAGAGGACGCCAATCAGAGAGATAAGGTCCAAGTGAGTTGATGTGAGGCCCAGAGGGGCTGGGAAGGTCAAGGATGGCACCTAGATTTCTAGCTTAGGCAATGAGTGAGTTTCTGTGATGGTGGCCAGGACCAGTTTGCTTGGTGAACTAACCCAGTAGAGCTAGTTTCCTGCTAATGTAGTCTTATTCATCAAAAAAAAGGTGACATGTGGAACTCTTGAGTGAGCTGGACACACATCGAAAGAGCCTGACTGTTAGATGGACTCAGTACATGTTTTGCTCACGTAACGCTTGCTGAGACAACAGATCACTTTTTACACCTGAAGCATGCAAGATGCTACATGCATGAAGTTCATACTGGCTCAGGAAAAGGACACTAAATTATATATTCCTTCTGTCCCCTCAAAGAATTATACTCTCTGTCTTCAATGTTATTAAAGAGGCAAGAGGATGTGCTTTAATTACAGGGCCTCTCACCTGAGACAAGCAACAATTTGTTGAAGACAGAGAGGTCGCCTGATTAGGGATGGGAAGACCCTGAGGAGCAGGACACGCGGCTAGCAGGGGCCAGGTCTTAGGAAGTCCAGTGCCAAGAACACTAGTGATGCAAGCATTTTGTTTCAACTTCAAACAATTGTGTTCCAAGATTGCTATTTGAAGTCAACTGTTTGGAACTTGGACACGTATTTTCCCCCCATAAAATAAGGTTGTGATTTAGGTATTGGAGTTTTCAGAATAATCCATAACAGCTCCTTAAATATGATAAGACGTTCTCTCTTTATTTTTAAAATAAAATGTTTTTTTTCCCTTTGATAATTAGTAATTCATGCTCTTTGAATTGGAAAAATATCAAAAAAGAGAATTAAAATCATAATGCTGCTGTTCACTAGTGGACGTCACCTTTGTCTCTCATCTGTAGTTCCCTTCAAATTTTTTTCTAACTTATAAAACATAGTTGAATGAAATGTAGGCATATAGGGGAACCAGAGGGACAGAAGGTAGATTAGTGGTTGTCTAGGGCTGGGGAGAGAAAGGATGGGGGTTTGGAGGATGCAGGTTTCTTTCTGGGGTGGTGAAATGTTCTACAATTGATTGTGATGATGGGGCATATGTGAATACAGTAAAAGTCAATGGACTGCAGACTCTAAATGGGTGGATTATATGGTATGTGAATTATATCTCAATAAAGCTGTTAAAAAGGTATTATGTGTATTTGAAATCAAGCCATATGTAAAATTTCATATTATGCTTTCATAAATCTTTTACAATATCTATTACAAATTCTGGAAAATGTCTTAATACTATTTCAAATGGACCTAACCAGCACATATATACATGTTTTGAGTAATAATGGATTTGGAGTTGCCTCTCCAGATGGCGGGAACACTGCCTGCACATGGGGTCTCTCTCTCACCCAATAGCGTGTGCCCACAGGAAGCAGAGTGTCTGCCCAGAAAGCAAGGCAGATGCCTTGGCTGCTCTCTGTACCTCACAGAAGCCCTCACTTCCTAGGTATTCTGACTAAGCGCACAAAGGGTGACTGATTGCCTCTGTGG